GATTTTCTTAGTGTGTAGTGCGAAACAGGTGCAGCCACAAAACTTCCTAGCATAAATCCAGTTAATCTCTGCATGAGTGTAAGAGACAAACACACTTCAGAAATAAGAGAACAAAGATGACTAATTTGGTTGTTTTTCTTTTTTCCCCTCTTGTGTTTAATGTAGTAGCTTTGGAGGAGAACAATCTGTAACAAGACTGGAATGATGTCCTCAAAGTTGAAGTGGCTGATTGTGATCCAGCTCTTGCTGAATGAACAGGCTTTGTGTAGGATCCCTCCTCCTCTGGTACTTGGAAACACTCCTCTTCCAGGAGCAGATTTCAATGAGGCGGGAGAGGAGACAGCCAAACAGGAACATCCATCTCTCCTTGAATCCCAACTTGATGTCCCATCTGCAAAAAAACCTGATCCTGTATTAGGGGTCGAACAAAAAGAGGAGAGAGTTCGATCTGCCCAAAATATAACATCCGTGCTCAGGACAAAGCTCGTGGGGCAGATTCAAGATCGTCTCCACCTCCAGGGGAAGGTAAGCTGTGAAGAGCTGCTGTCTGCCAGCACTGTGGACGACCCATCATCCTCCATGTTCCCCCAGGAGCTCCTGGGGCTTTCTTTAGTGCCCGTGTTGGTGGTGGCAGGCTGCCCTCAGGAGGCACACACCTTGGTGCTCAAGCTGTACGACCTTTTGGGAGTGGCTGACGCGGAGGAGCTCCTGATGGAGGTAGAGGGTCTGATGGAGAGGAGGATGAGCAAGTCCACGCCTGCACCTGCATATGAGAGGGATGAAGCAGGGCGCCACATAGAGGCTGTGATGTTTAACATCCAGCAGCTGGCCACGGTGGGGGAAGATTCCTCCAAGCAGGAGACTCATTGTGAGGGTTGGAGCAGGGTGAGGGGCACCATGCTGGCAGGAGCAGCAGTGGAAGGAGCCACAGGTGATCTACAAGAGGCCGTGAGCTCCTGCGAGAGGCTGGGAGTCCTGTGTGCCGGTGTGACCAGCAGTGGACGCAAACCTGGGAAGTACCTGGCAGTGTTTAAGAAAGGCAGTCGCGTCCTGCCCTCTGAATCCACAGTGTCTGAGTGTTGGATCCGTCAGTGCAGCACAGATGAGGATGTTTGGACCTCTGCTGCTTCAGGTGGACGTCTGAAACGCAGCCCCCAGAGAAGCTGCATCAACAAAAGCGAGCAGCGTGTGTACAACGTGGTGGAGTGGATCCCTGCGGTCAGCACCCTCTACAACCTGGGCACAGCTGTGTACTACGCCTCGGTCAACTGCTCTGCAACCGCCAAGGAGAGAGCAATCCTCAGCGCCGTGGACCTCGGCACCGACGCTCTCATGGTGGCCACGGGAGGGACGGCGGGGGTGGCAGGCTACGCCCTGGGGGCAGGGATGAAGACCGGTGTGAAAGCTGGCGTCAAGTATCTGCTCAACTCCATGAAGAAGGAGGATGATGTGCTGGTGAACCAGTTCAGCTGGGAGGACGGTGTCATCACCATCCAGTAGACTGGGGATCAATAAATTAAGCTGCAACGCTTAAGCAATAAATATTGTTATAAGTAGTTCATTTAAAACAACACAGGATCAATGTTTGATGATTGACATGGTTGAAGATTAATTGGTTTGTTTTTTAGGGAACAAGATTACACATTTTGGGGATTTTCAGACTCAAATTGAAAAGTAAAAATGTTTTGTCTGTGTGAGCGCAAACACACATTTCATTTTAAACTATTAGACAAAATGATTATTCTTTTTTTATTTTTATGATGACAGTGATTTTCGAATTAGTATGTAACTCATGTAAATTAGTTTCACAGTTCTTTTAGGGCAGATACGCCTAAAATGTAATGAAAATTCAGTTACAGTAAAAAGTTGATTACATTACACTTTAATCTTAATGTAAGGAATAGAATTAGGGCCATATGTGATTTTCTTTTGTTGATCTGACCAATTTTTGTTTGTTTTTTCAGTCAGAACTCAAAATTAAATGATGTCAATAATATAAAGGAAAAAGAAACCAGGTCATAAAGTACATTTTGAACATGTTAGCTTTTAGATAGCGTCTTGTTTGGATAATGGCTAATAGTGTAACATTGTTTTATATTAGGCAGTAACGTTTGAAGAACTGGTCTCAGGAAATTAAACCTTTAATCCTCAAGACTTTCATTTTGCTTTTGTTACCTATCTGTGAAGACATTTAGTCAGGTCAGTCATATTCCCACCTCTGGTGTTAACTGCAGGGACAATAGACAGAGAACTAAATAATGTTGTTATATATGCTTTTTCTTTGTTTAAAAGGTCAATAAATTGTACATTTAAACCTTACAGTGACTGTCAGTGTCGTAGTTTTGCACAGACATAAAGTGTTTGTATTTGTATAGTAAGATGGTCTAATGGTTACAAAACAGTTGGCAATTGACAAGAAAATACTATTCAATGTGCATTTTTACATAAAACTATGATTTATATGTATGAGTCATGGTGTGCATACTTAGTTCTAGCCACATCCAGTACTTATCTCTAAACAAAGTTTTTATTTAAAACATGTATATTTTAGGGTATACAAATCTTTACCACTCGGCATCGGTTGAGGCTAATGGGTTAATGTGAATGGAGTAACTGACTATTCAAAGCCTGTTAAAGGTCCCACATGCCTGCTGCTGATTTACAAATACACAATGTCCTCCAAGAAGAAACTAAATCAGCTCCCTGCAGACACGAATGAATGTAAATAAAAACATGTCTGCCTCTTCAGATCTCAACATAATAATAATAATAATAATTTCGATTTTTATAGCGCCTTTCAAGAAACCCAAGGACGCTTTACAATGGGAATAACAAAACAAAACAATTATAATAATCACACAGACACACAGGTTGAAAAACAGGTTGCTGGGTACTGCATTTTAGCTGGGGCCGAAGGCCTGAGTGAACCGATGGTGTTTCCCAACCCACATTATTTCCTAACAATGCTAATAGAACATAGGAGCACTTTTGATAATGCTCATGTGTAACTACTCGCATGCTGTGCTACAAAGTGCAAACCATGGTGTACCACCGTTTTTTAAAAGTATCACCCTGTGATAGAAATTTGGCCAAAGTGGGATCTTCTTCTTGTCCAATTCATACTGCAACCAGCAACCTGTCCCAAACAAGATATTTCATATGAGCCCAAATGATTATCCTAAATAGACGTGAGTAATTAAAGATGAACGGTTAATGATCTCTTTTTGAATGTGCTGTCCTGTGAACTTTGCTCTTTGTGCAATTATTGACCAATAGATTACTCAGAAATGTTCAGTATCAATCCACAACTCTCTGTAGGACAAAACGTCCTACCTATAACTATACTATAACTGTATTTAGAGTATCACACATTACATAATCTAAACGTAGTGGAAAGAGATGAGTAAGAAGCTTATATTGTTTAATCAGATAAGTCCAGTAAAGCACACACCGCCTGCTTCCTGTTAACGGAAAGGGATTTTATTAGAAGAGTAACAATGTAAGGTCCATTTAATAGTGTTGGAGAACATTTCCTTTTGTGTAGAGGGACGACAATCTCAGTTTGAAATCTGTCGCTTTCTCCCATCTATCCACAGCACAGATCTAACATTGTTTGTTAAATCAACAATTTTATTTTGTTTAATTTAACAATTAATCAAAACAATGTGTTTTTGATGGTATCAAAGGCTAGTAGGCTGAACAACAAAATTAATGGGAATTTGGGGCTGACCTTTTTGAGAACCAACAGCCTTACCATGAGTTATATATTATAAAAATAACCTTGGTTGAATAACGATATTTTGTACATTCAGTGCCCTTAAACTGCCTTTGAACAAACGCAAATAATAATAAAGAATAAAATGGACAGAGGATCTAATTGCATATGAATAAAGCGGTGCGCAATAGATCAAATTCTTTATATAATTCTTGCTCAGTTGATATACTTCAGGGGGGGGGGCATTTTTAAATCAGGACCCCTGAATTTCTGCATCCAAATCATAGACTGTATATATAAAGATCCAAATATGTAAAAGGTTTCTGCACTGTGGATTTAAATGTAGTCATTTCTGTAATGGTATGGCATGGGTGACATCTAATGGTAAGAGTGGGAACTGAAGGAATGAGTGAAATAAATTCTGTTATTGGTATGACAGCCACACATGTTTAAGTTTACATTTGGGGAAAATTGTAAATAATAAGTTACCTTATATTTAGTAGACACAGATTGATACCTGCGTATTTGGCTAATGTTGTAACCTATTATATGTGTTTACTTTTTTAATTTAATTGAGATTCTGCATACAAAAATGTTAATTTTACATATTACTTAACATAAAATCTGAAACATCAAAATATTAAAGAGTGGGGGTTGTGTTCTGACTAGACTTTTAGAGATACAATATGAAGGGTGGAAGTAACCATTTATAGATAAAAGTGGAGTCATGTGAATTGAAAAAGGGGAGAGGGGTAGAAATGAATGTGAAAGAGAGAAAATAGTGGTGAAAATGATGAAACATGGCTTTGTTTTCATTACACCTCATAATGTTTTAATGAACTTGGCATTACATTAAATTCCTTTTAATAATGTATTAATTATGTTATCATTATTGTCACTTGATTTAACATTTCACCTTGTTTTATTGAGTCCTGTGAATGCATAAACATAACGTGTTTTATTTTCTTTTTTTTTACCCATGCGTCACATGCTCGCTTAATCACATCACAACCTAATTTCTCGGGAAATCTTAAGTTTCTATTTTGCTCAGCGTCACTTCCCTCGCTACTGATTGACTTGGAAAGCGTACCAACAGCGCGTGCTTTCTGTGTCCGGCTCGACCAATAAGCTGTTAGTTCTGAACTCACTAGGAAACTGTGGTAGCGGTTCCGGACATTTCGGCTCTTCAATGACTGAACAGCAGTGATGTCAGAGCCAAAATGGTGCCCACTGTTAGAATAAGAAGAACCAATTGGGAGGGATTACTAGGTATCCAATGAAATGGAAATACAAAAAATAAAGTGTTTAAGGAAATAACATTCACTATCCTGCGTTTTGTCGGAAGTTGTTTTGTTTTACCAGCGTCTAACAACGGATAGCAGTTAAAGCTAGAAACAAGACTTAGCCAACCGTGAAAACGATAGTAATGCGCCTGTCTTAAATGTTAGCTATTTACTAAGACATTTATAACTGGTCTCGGACTGACAGCATAAAACAAGGTGAGTAAATATGTTGTTACTAATAATAGGAACATATCTAGGCTGTAGACGGATAGTCAAAGACAAGCATAACATGCAAATACTGTATACTGAGTCTCAACTGCATAACACAATACGAAGTCATGTCATACAAAAGTAACTTACATAATAAGCAGTCACAGGTTGTATCTGTTTGCACTTTGCTCCAGCTTCCTTCAACTGTTGACGATATAACTAATAGCTCGGATTGTTACAAAGCTGTCATCGCACCATGTATTAACTTACATGCTTAAAAATGTTATGATCTAACGTTGAGCGTTTTATACTGTACAAAGAACAACACAATAGTTTCCGAGCTGTATTCAGTGGTTTGCAATGAGAGAGACAGTTTGTATTTAAGGAAATAGGTTTAAAAAGCAACTCAGGATTAGATACACCTATTTGACAGAGATACATGCACATGCAAATCTTGTGGAATGGATGTGACATTGAATAAATAATGGTAGGTAACTTTGCAAATTAAAAACAACGTGGTAAACACACAAACAACTGAGTCATATATTATTTGTGTATTAAACAATTGGGAACCTGTTTTTGGAAACCTAGTCATGAAAGGGTTGACTAATAGAATGTGAATGTTTAAAGGATTGGTATACTGTAATAAGCTTACCTTCAACTTCAATCCACACCTTCTTGGTAACATTTTTGTTTGTTTTCGATTTATTTTAATGCGTTTTTGGTATTTATTCATATATTTGTATGTGTACTTCGGAAGATTATCAATAAGGACAAAAATAAATCACTAAATGAATACCAAAATACCATTTCAGTCAGACAACTGCCGTGTTCTTAATATGTTTATTATAGCAGCATATAGTTTGAGTTTGGCCTCTAGGCTCGGGCCTCATCACTCCATAGATTTACAAAGAACATTGAGTGATGATTAGATAACTATCCCCCGAGCCTACAGATGGAAGCTGGGGTGGAAGCTGGGGTGGAAGCTGGGGTGGAAGCTGGGGTGGAAGCTGGGGTGGAAGCTGGGTGGAAGCTGGGGTGGAAGCTGGGGTGGAAGCTGGGGTGGAAGCTGGGGTGGAAGCTGGGGTGGAAGCTGGGGTGGAAGCTGGGGTGGAAGCTGGGGTGGAGCTGGGGTGGAGCTGGGGTGGTGGTGGGTCAGGCAAGCAGCAGCAACATGAAACACAGCAGCAGGAACATGAACATGAACGCAGCAATAGCAAGTGAACACAGCAGTGGCAGCAGCAGCATAGCGAGGCAGAAGCAGGAAGACCTGGCAGCTTAAATAGAGCGGCATGTTTAGGAGAATGTGTTTGGTTGGTTGTAAGAGGGACGAGGTGCGCCACGTGTTAATGTATGCCTGAACTAGCTCGCAGGCTTCGCCCCATTACTACTACTAACATTCTTGAAAATGGTTTGCTCTTTGTGTTCCCTTGTTAACCAGGGTTAGGATGGCTCAGTGGGATAAACTGACAGAGCTGTCTGATGCGTACACACAGCAGTTACATGAGCTCTATGACAGGGATGATTTTCCTATGGATGTGCGGCACTACCTCTCTATCTGGATAGAGAAGCAGGATTGGTAAGGCAGCAGTGATATTATTCAACCAGCATTATATAACTCAAGGATTAGAGTGAAATGCCCTGTTTGTAAAATACTTGTGTTTTTCATTTCCTTTTTTTCTGTAGGCAAAGAGCAGCCCGAGAACATGACTGTGCTATGGTGCTGTTCCAGGTCCTGCTGGAGAATTTGGATAACCAACACAGCCGCTTTGTCCAGGAGGAGTCATTCCTACTGCAGCACAACATTCGTCGCTATAAACAGGGCTTTCAGGTTTGATTGGATGGAATTTGTAATAGAGCAATAGCACCTTTGGGTGCCCTATTTGACTTTGAATTGGAAAAATCCACAGAAAATATGAAGATCATAATGGTTCTGATCTCACTGGTCATTGGCTGTGGCATTCATCTGACCTCTCTCCCCTGACAGAGGTACCTGGAGGACCCCTGTGCCTTGGCTAACACAATCCTGTGGTTTTTGAGCAAAGAGAAAGACATCCTGCAGAATGCTGAACTGGCTGAGCAGGTTGAGAAAACGTTTCATCAACTCATTGACACACGTATTAAATGAGACACACCCTAGTAAATACAACATTTAATAATACAGCAAGCCCACGAAAACAACCACACTGATATTGCTCTATAACAGGTAGTACATATAAATCAAATTAAGCTGTGTAGTATGCTTGGCCGACAATATTGCATGGGCTTAAAGTGCCATGTATAAATATAACCTTTTATCGTGCATACAATACTTACCTTGTTATATAATAACATATAATCATAGGTAACTAGTTTGCTGTCATGTAAAGGGGCCAAACAGGGATTAAGGTGAGCTAGCTCATTTGATTGCACAAGGATTCTTTTGTATAACACTATGAAGAGTCCAATTTGTCTTTTTGGACATTTGTTAATGTGACATCTATTTTTAAAGAATTTTAAAAACATTATCAAACAATACTTAATCAGCCCATTGTAGAATACCAATGCTATAGAATAATGCTAATGGACAATGACATGAAAATGTGGTGTTTTTACAAAAAATATGTATCACATTATATACATATTTTTGCCCCCATGTGACTATTTGGTCATCCACCAAAAAGGAACAGGCTGTGTTTCTGCAATACTATAATCTATTCATAACTATTAAATATTTAAAACCAAGTTTACAAAGGACATGTTTAATGTGTCCTGTGTGAATTTCTCCCTCTGTTTGCAGTTGATGACAATGTATGAACTGTTATTTAGAAAGTGCCAGATGTACTGAACACATACTATGAACTCAGTGTGTGGGCTAAAAAGCAAAGATTTTCCACCAAGCAGTGATATCTTATTAACTGCCACTTTCACTCTCACGTTTTCAATGCCAGGCGAAAATACTACCCTTCATTGTTTCTGAAAACCCTTAATCTCTATACCTGCTCATCCTACTCGTTTGCTTTGTTTCAGGTCCAGTTGCTGTGTGTAGAGCAGGAGGCCATGGAGACAAGCAGCCAGCATGACCTTGAACGTAAAATGGTTGGCCTCAGAAATGAAGTGCAGGTGCAGATAATGTTGCTTGATGATATTATGCTTGGCTTTGTATTTGAATGATATTGCAGTTCATCCGTTTTCTTTTTTTCCGGACCTTTGGGACACAGTGCATGGAACATACGATATTGTGTCTGGAGGAGCAGCAGGACGAGTTTGATTTTAAATACCAAACACACAAGATGGAAGGTAAGCAGATCACATCCTGGTTTAATTTGCATTTTGTGACAATGTTCTTTGAGGATGAGTAATAAAGAGGCCTGAATCACAGCCTCATGTTCTCTTTTGTTTTGATCCATCTTGTATGGAAACTGTAATCCCACTGTGGAAACTTTTATGCAGCTGTGGTGGACGAGGCCGTGAAGAAGGATCAGATGAAAGTTCTTCAGACTCTTGTCAACAGACTGAATGACTGTAGAAAGGTAAAGGAGTTATCCCTATTTTTAAATAACACTGAGTTGTAAAATGTGGGCCTTTTTGGAAAATATAATAGTCTTCCTTTTTATATATATGTGTGTTTTGACTCATACAATCACCTTCTCTAGGTTACACTGTCAGACCTCAAAAAGCTCCTGGACAGGATTGAAGACCTGATCAACATTTTGGTGAAGAAGGAGCTGGTGGAGTGGCAGAGGAGGCAGCAGAAAGCCTGCATCGGATCTCCAGACAATGTTTGTTTGGATCAGCTGGAGAATTGGTATGTCCGGTCCCATTAGCTCCAAATCAACTATTATTTGTTTTGACCTTTAATGTAAAAATATATCAATAATCATTCTTTTAATGAAGTGCTAAAATGCAGAAAACAATGCTATTTTATAATTGCAACTGGGGACTTCCAAAATCCCACTATTATCCCATATGTTGTGTTTCTTTGTGAGTTTTTTTGTCTTATTAAGAATCGTCGTTTGCTCTTTTCCCTCTTGTTTGGTAGGTTCACCTGTGTGGCAGTGTGTCTGTTCCAGGTGCGTGAATTCCTTGGTAAACTGGAGGAGCTTGTAGGAAAAGTGTCCTATGAAAACGACCCTGTGAAGGCACAAAAACCTGCACTGCTGAGTAGAGCAGATACTCTTCTGAAAGACTTACTCAAAAGGTCTCACTTTTAGGAAACACTCTTAAACTAATTTGCATTCTCATGATTTCTTTGTGAAGTTTCCTGACATTATTGTTTTTCATGTTTCCTGAAGTTCCTTTGTGGTTGAAACTCAGCCATCCATGCCTCAGGGGAAAGGACCTCTGGTGCTCCGCACAAACGTCCAGTTCTCTGTCAAGACCAGGTCAGTGTGACACTCCAGGCAAACAGTATATTGCCTTTTCTTCACTTTAATGTATGTTTGTAACATACTCTTCATGTAAAGACTACAGATGCACTGATTGGATCTTTGTTGGCTGTTTCCAAGTTTTAATGTCGATTGCCAAATCTAATTCTCTTTCTTTCTAAGAACTATATACAATTGACAGCATACACACATTAAAAATAAATAACATGTTTTTTCAAAATGTAACAGGAGCTTCTTTCACTCTCACTTAATCACATCTTCAATTAAACAGGCTCGAGCTTGCTTAAATTCAAGTCCATTTTGTAAACTTTGTTTTGTGGATTGTTCCTATTTGTTTTGTTATTTTCTTGATTCCTCACAATTTATTTCTGAAATCTTCCACCTGTCATAATATTTTCAGGCTTCTTGTCAAATTTCCTGAGCTGAACCACTCCATGAAAGTGAATGTATCAATGGACAGGTGAGAGTCCTCCTTTCCCGACAAACACAGCAAACCTGCAGCCTTGAATTCTGAACTTCAAACTATACACAATGACGTTTTTGTTTCCGCACATTCATCACTGATTTTTTCCCCCCTTGAAATTAGGGAGGCTCCTCAGATCAAAGGGTGAGTGTTTTTTTAAAGATAATCTAATATTAATTCTTGAATAACTGTATGAAATTGAATTAGTTTTTACTGAACCCTTGTATGTTTATAGTTATCGACGTTTTAATGTCCTGGGGACCAAAAGCAAGGCATTGAACATGGCAGAAAGCCAAAGTGGAGGCATGGTGGCAGACTTCAGACATCTTGTGAGTGATACTTTATTATTTGCCTGTTTTGTTTGTTTGTTTGTTTGTTCACCATGTAAAGCGGCCTTGGGTCCCTTGAAAGGCGCTATACAAATGTAATCTATTATTATTATTATTAAAAGATAAAAACAATTATTAAAATAAAACTGTTAAAGAAAAAATAAAGTAACTTTTACAATATTCCCACTTTCATCCTGTTATATTGTGGTTTTGACTTAGTTCGTTTTTTCGTATTTGTCTATAGACTCTGAAGGAGCAGAAGTCTGGAGGTGGCGGCAAAGGAGTCAGTGATGTGAGTTAACTTAGAGTCCAAAAGATACCGTCATTGCTTGCTGTTATAATCAGTCAGAACTCAAGAAGATGTTAACAACAAATAATGTGTGTGTTTTTCCGATGACAGATTTCTCTCAGTGTTACAGAGGAGCTTCACATCATCTACTTTGAGACTGAATTTGAGATGAAAGGCGTGTCCGTTGAGTTGCAGGTGGACTTCATACTTCCTGTCTCGTTATATTGTCAAACTTTATAAAAATAAAAATAAACCTATATCTGCTATGTTAAACAATTAAGCATCATATAATTGATCTCATTGTCTTATGGAAAATGGAAAATGAGATATCAATTTCGTTTTTTTTTCCTAGGCCTCCTCCATCCCGGTGGTCATCATCTCCAACTCCAGCCAGCAGCAGAGCGCCTGGGCGTCGGTCCTCTGGTTCAACATGCTCAGTCTGGACACCAATGTGAGAGATCCCCATCACTTGGGCAAGAAATTGTTGGCATTATTGGGCTCAAAATCAATTATAACCTCTTAGAATACATTAAATGAGAATGGTCTAACCGAAAAACAGTTCTGAACCTCCTTTTGGCTCTACTTTAAAGATTTTAGAACATCTAGACCGTAAGTCACGTTAAAACGGTGAAAGATGTATTCAAAGGAGGGGTATCTTTAAGCATAAATAAACTATTACAGCATTAGACACAACTGCCTGCACTGCATAGCAAACCAAAAAGGAAGAAGGACTTATCAAGAAGAGAGTCCGGCAGTATCGGCAAAGCATTTTAGAGATTCAATTTAGCTTGTTTAGTCTTCAGCTCACATCTGTGGCTAGTCTCGTGATGGTATTAACAGCATTTTCTTTGCATCTATGAAGCGTTTCACCTACTGTATGTTGTAGCTAGCCTCAAATCAAAGTATGTCCACACTCTTGTGACGAAAATATTTAAACGGACTAGGATGATGTTTGAAATGAAGGACTGGTACAGGTACTGTTTGAAGCGGCTGCACATGTTCACACATGTCTGGTGGGAGGTCCTTACAAAAAGGGGAGCTGTGGAGAACAGCTTTTTTGGCAAACTTCTCTGTTAGTTTGTCGGGCTATTTAAGAAACAAAGTATGCCTGGGGTACCGATTTAACAACTTTTACGCTGAAAAGTTTTGATGTCATTTCTGCCAAATATTGCCAAAGATAAACTGTCTCACCCAGCTTTTGCACACACCATGTAGCATGTTGAAGTTTAGTTCTGCGATTGTTAGGAATTTGAAAAATATTGTGAACATTTGTATTGATATGTGTCTGTTTCTCCAGGACGTCATGTTCTTTGCCAACACTCCTCCAGCCACCTGGCCACAGTTTGGAGAGATGTTGAGCTGGCAGTTTCTCTCTGCCACTAAACGTGGTCTGGATGAGGCTCAGCTGGAAATGATTGCACACAGGCTCTTTGGTAAATATTGTTTCTCGGTCAAAATCAGTTAATCAATTCAAATGTATTTATATATATTACTGTTGCTTTCCCTAAGTAGAAACTAGTGTTAAAGTTACTTGATTGGTATTATAACAACCAGCAGGACTTTCTCCCAGTTCATATTGATTTGTCAGAATATCGTAAAAGGATTGCACACTATAATCAAGCATTCTTTATTGATTTTATGTATGTTTAATTAAATATTATGTCTGTGAGTGAGTTTTATAATGCATCATTTATTTTTCTATCCTACCAGCAAAAAAGCAGAACTATGACGCCTGCAAAGTAGCTTGGTCAAAATTCAGCAAGGTAAGAGTACTGATTATTAGAAAAATATTTATCAGCATGGCTCATTGAACAAACCCTAAGCACAACACTCACTATATAGATCTGAGTGAGCCCCCATATTCTTCCTTTATCTCCACCCTGAAGTGTTGTTGTTATTTGGATTAAGATGTTGACGATTTGATTTATTGACTTTATTTGGTACACACATTATTGTTAAATCCCCTTTAATGCAATGCTTTTCTCCTGTAGCACAAGGTCTAATCAGGTCCATTGTCAGTTTGTTCGATATCTTGGTTTAAAACTAAATACCTGCAAAAGCAATGACATCCAATGTATTTTTCTTTAGTTTGGATGAATATGTCAGCTACCTAGCATGGTAAATGAAGGTATTAAACATGATTATTATTACCAGCATGTTAACATTGCGACCATTACACACTAACCTCAAACATTTTAACATTTAATTTACTTTGACTAATTATGATAAAAACAAGCTGTGCACTTAAACGTTTATCCATGATATAATTTGGTTTTCATTACAATACAATGAAAACCATTCCCACCCCGGAACCTGCGGTCCTCAGACTCTGGCCTGCTTACCACCCCCCGCACCAAACTGCGAACCTTCGGGGACAGAGCCTACAGTGTGGCAGCCCCCACCCTCTGGAACGCTCTCCCTGCGGAGATTCGCAACATCCCCACACTCGACGCCTTCAAAAGGGCCCTCAAGTCCCATCTGTTTGCCAAGGCTTTCGGCCCCTAATCGATCTGTTGTTTTGTCTGTCTGACTTTTGTTTTGTTATGTTTGTTTTTGCTATATTACTTGTAAAGCGACCTTGGGTCCCTTGAAAGGCGCTATATAAATGCAAGCTATTATTATCATTGCTGCCTCACAAAGCATTACGCTTGGCTGTATATTTTTTGTTTGGTTTAATGATTGTTTGTGAGTATAATGTATGTTGGAATTGATGACCTTTTCCACATCTTTTCTTACAGGAAAATCTTCCTGACACCTTCTGGGTGTGGTTTGATGGCATCTTAGTGATGGTTAAAACGTACCTTGAAGACCTTTGGAGGGATGGGTATGTTTTATCTGCATTTAGCGGAGAGTATTTAAGCAAATGCCAAGTTTCTTGTTTTATGCAAGTCTTTTTTTTATCTGTACTCTAGCCTCATCATGGGTTTTGTGAGCAAAGGCAAAGAGAAGTCCCTCCTAAAGAAGAAACAGAGAGGCACTTTCTTATTGCGCTTCAGTGAAAGTGTTATTGGAGGAATCACCTTCTCCTGGGTGGAGACCACCATAACTGGTGAGTTATCTTTTTAACCATAATTGTAAAATCTATTTTGAACTTGTTGCATGGTAGACAGTCACCATCCTCTGTGTATTGTAGGTGAGCCTGACATAAAGACAGTCCAGCCCTTCAGCAAAGTCGACCTCTGCCAGATCCCCTTCCATGAAATCATCAGGAATTTCCAGATCTTAGAAGCAGAAAATATCCCAGAAAATCCTCTGCTTTACCTATATCCAAACACCCCTAAAGATGAGGCGTTCGGAAAATACTACTCTGAGAAGACTGGAGGTAAGGGCATCAACTATTTTTGCTGCTTTTTGCTTATCTAAATGTTTGCGAAATGACACACCTCTCATGACATTTACTGTTCTTGACCTCTGCTTTTAGAGTGTTGTTCTTGTCATGAATTCGTCGTAGGTATAAATACAATGTATTGATGTGTGTGTTCGCGACAACAAATTCATTTCTAAACTCATTCTCTTTCAGCTGACGGTCCTTACTTCAAGTACATCAAAACCAAGCTGGTGTTTGTTTCAAAGGAGTAAGTATATTAGTGATTTCCTTAAGATTTGTTCCGTATGTTGCTTGTTTGAATTAATACTATGTGCACTTAGTACAGAAACCAAAATATAAACTAAAAATGCACTTAATTCATCTAGTAAGTAGTGTACCAACGCCCTTTTTTTAAGATGTCATCAGCATCTGGTTGTAATGACTGCTTGTCATTGGTCATGTAGGAACACACTGGAGGCCAGGTCACCCATGTCCTCTGACATGGCACAGGGTGAAGGCCTGGAGCCAATGAATGGCCTGTGTGGAGAGGCAGCCGGTGAGTCATGGCTCTCCTTGCTGTCCAATCCAGCTAAAAACCTAATCCGACAAATTGCTCTTTCCTTTCGGCCTTGCGTTGTAAGAATCAGATGCTGTCTAGATATGTCAGACAGCTATGAAATTGGTTAGCTTCTAACTTACAGCGTATCCTGTGAGGCTGTGGGCTGCTTCGACTGCATGCACATGTTCAGTGGTAATTCTCTACTGGTTTGGGCAAACTAACTAACACGTTAGTTTCTTATAGCTTTCTACCTTCTGATGCTTGAATATTGTGCATGTTGCATGTATTAAATCAATGAATATACACCGTAAAACAAAGACACCACATACAGTACTAATGCTATACAATAATGATTACGCATGAAATCAAATATATTTTGACTGTATTATATATTTGTTATACTATTATCAATAGAAGTGATTGTTGTAGCAATAGCATTTCATTTTCATTCAATCCAATGTAAATATATTTTTCAGGGGAAGAAATGCATAGAACTTCTCAGTCAAGTAAATACTGAGCTGGACTTCATGCAGATCAATGCACTATTATGTTCAAAGAAAAGGTTTGGGACCATTGGGAAATACACTTGTACAAACGGTTCAATAGTTCAACTACCAGCACCTCAATAACTAACAAGTTATATTTCTGTTATTAAAGTCATTCAAAACTTGTGTGTAAGCACAAAAACAACAATCAGAACCAAGAAATAGTGATTTGAGTATTTATTAGTGGTGGTGCCGCTGTTTAATGGATAAGTAAACATGCACAACTTTTCTTTTATGGCTTACAAAAGGTATAGAGTACTTAGTATAGAGTTGAGCTTTAAACAACCTCTTAAACAAACTGAAAAGAAAATACAAGCATCAAACACAAACCGAGTGTATTCATGCATGTGTTATTGATTAACTTGATGACCTGAAGGAAAAATACCAACTCTGCATGAAATTCATGAGAATTCTTCACAAAATCAAATCCTTCCAATCTAATCGTTTCATCCTTTACTTTATTTTTTTATGTTTTGGATTTGGCACATCACAGTTTTTGTTTGAAAACAACATAGCCAGAACACAGCCATGGCAGCAGAAACCGTAACTTTCTCTCTTCCCTTTCTTTGCTCTCAGAACTAAACGAGAGTCCTCATTCTCTGCAGCAGTCACTTCTGGAAACGTATCACCCTGATGATCCAATGCTGTCTGGCTCTGTTGCTGCCGCAGAGGAGGATTTACTGACATATCTCAACAACCCCAACGCCTTTGTTGACACTGATATCTTGCAAGAGGAGCCGGAGCTGACTGATTTCAGTCTTTCAGGATTTAATTGCCTGCCCCAACAATCCTGTGGCAGCATCTTCCAATAAGTCTCTGTTGTGTATAGTTAACAGAACCACTATGTTATTCATTGTCTGCTCTACTTTCTGGCTTCTTACATTACAACACACATCATGCAATTGTAGCATAGGTAGCAAATCCACTCTACATACAGTACTGTCTCATGATTTGAAACCACTCTACATGGGTCCTTGCTTGGCCCATGCAACCTCATTGAGGCGTGTCATTCTTTTTTCTTCAATCCTGCTAACAAAGATATGATTCAGTGAGACTATTTGAAGACACAAAAGAAAGCAAATTTAGCTAACTCCAATTGTGTGCAAGGCATCTGTACTAGACCCCTCAACTATCATGATTGATAAACTATTATTTATGAACATTTTTGCATTTCAAAGCTGTTAAAAGAATATCTGGAATTATATCTAACTGACCATGTAAGCAGTTTCATAATATATTTTTTTTAATGTTGAGAACATTCCGTGGACTGCACATAATTTATTGTTTTAATGTTTGTTTTGAGCCCATTTGTGCTTGTTTTATTGTTGCCACCTGCAGCTTGTGATATTTTGAAATAACACATGGCACTTCCTGCTTTTAAAGTTATCCTTTATATGAATTAACCTGTTCAAATATGTTATCACCAATAAAAGGGAAATTACTGATTGTATGTTCCATTAATTATTAACTGAAATGTTGTAAATTAATAAATTGGAGAAATAGCTTGTTTCCAGTAGCCTATTTCAAACTGCAGCGCTGATCTTAATCAAAAGTGTATGTTAAAAGTAATAACAACAATTTAAATAAAACCAAGCTGTGTGGCTCAACTAAAATTGTAGGTTCTCTTACAACTTTTGAAAACATTTAAATGTATGCACGTTCAAATTAGGTTGGAGGTTTTTTTTCACCTTCCGCCCCGGCAGCATGGACACAGGTTGCTAAGAAGGAAACACCAACAGCTAGCAAGCTAAAGGACTGGATATTTTAATCAGAAGGAGACGCAACAAAAACAATTAAAGCTCAGTGAGTACTTAACTTATGTGGCCGAAAGCAATTTTGTACGTTGCCTTGTGCCGTATGTACAGACAGTCTGTAGCCTACGTGCTAAAGTGTCAGTTAAGCTAACGTTAGATGTTGTTAGTTGCGCTAAATGATCTGTAACTAAATTAGTTGAGGCATTGAGTAATTATAATTATAAATACATCATATAACTTAAAGGTAGGGTAGGTAAGTTTGAGAAACCGGCTTGAGATACACTTTTTGTTATATTCCATGGAATGCTCTTAACATCCCGATAGCAATGAATATCTTAACGGGCCGTCTCCACGGCAGCGTTAAAAAAATCTTGGAGGTGGGCGTATCTGAGGCTTGGGGATTTTTTTGCGATCATCCAATCACATGAATCTCCCGCCCGCGACATATGAAGCCAAAAAGCCCGAAGTAAACTGGATATAAACTCCCCAAAACAGGCGAAAACATACCACTGTCTCTGCCACCTCCCTCCATGCCTGGCTCCTCCGGTTTATATCCCGGTAGGTCTGGTCATAAAGCACCGGGTGATTGATTCGCTACCGCTAATTTCTCCTCCATGTTTTGGAATATGAGGAAATGACCTGCGGTCTGTCTCTCCCAGCATACACACCGTTTGATTGGCTAGAGCTTGAACTGTCAGATTTGCGTACACGGGATTTGATTGGCTGACGCTTCCTCCTCAGCTTCAAAAGTTGAACATTGTTCAACTTTGGATCTTGAAAATCCTGAGAATCTCCGCTCGCCTGCCCACAATGCATTTCGGCGAAAGCGAAAAAAAGTGACGTCACCCCATTCAAAGTGAATGGGCAGAAGCGTTTCAAGATTTTTTAACGCTGCCGTGGAGACGGCCCGTTAAGTGCTTTGACAAAAAATCCATAAAAAAATGTCATTGTGGAAGCCGTAGTAATACTGTAAAAAGTATGACCAATCATTTTAGCCGGCTCGGCTAAAATAACTGGATGGCCTACCTGCCTGTCAGCCTTCCATCTGTGCACAAACTTATCTCGTGCCCTCATTGGTCATGTGCACGTTCGTGTGTGTTGGAGGAGGGGCTCTATACGGAAGTGGCAGATTTTCTCCGGGGTTGCGGTCGAATAGTCCATTTAACAACGGTTTCAAATCAGCATCTCTTAGACAAAAAATGTAAATTAAGAACTCAAATAAAACTCCAAACATCTTTCATTGTGTTACTTTTTTGTAAAGCTCTTTTAGTTTTAAACCTGATGTTTATAAGCTTCTTAGTTTTTGCAACAGTCTGTAAATATACACAACTTTATAATAAAATGCACACATTTACCTTTTTCTAGACTAAACACAGGTATGATCCTAAGTTAAAAAAAGATGAGGTTATCATGAGGTTGTTAACATCGCAATTTATCAGTGGATGTTTGCTGGAACTACTTGTAAACAGCGTGTTTCCTGACGGACAGAGACCGGTCTCAAGTCAGCACCGATGCAGACTCGCTGTTTGAGGGCTTGATAGCCCACTCCCCCTCCACACCTCTCCACACTCGTTGGTTTGGAACAGCACTTAATGTGGCGGACCCTCCGCGCGAACGCGCAAACGGAGGGGTAGTGTGTAGGGGTAGGGTGTAGGGGGCGGTTTGGGATTGGGCCTTCCTAACGGAGTGAAATGACCCGGAAGTCCCTCAGTGGCAGCCATGATAAGTGGTTCGAATTCTCTAAATGAAAGGAAAGGAGGTTTCAAACTTCCTTTATAACCTCCTTTAGCTTAGGAACCACTGTGGTCCTTCTCAGGTCGACTATTTTCATTTCCTCGGTCCTCGGTCCTCGGTATCACCGGAAGTTGATTTGTCTGCGCCATCTTGAGTAGCGTCCCATGGCTCTTATTTCTGCCGGAGGACCGAGGACCGAGGATCGAGGAGCGATAACCGAGGAACCACCAGACCATTCTCCGGTGAAATCCTCAGATACTCTCCCTGCCCCCTTACTGTGTATCGCTCACTGATTGGACGATGCAGCGCATGCACTGATCCACCATAGTGAAATATAATAATACAGTTTGGATTGATTCTTGTTCAATTTGGGATGAAGTTAGGATGAACGACTTTGCTGATTTTAATCTTTCTTATTCACACTTACCAAGCAGAACGTTTATGAAATAATAATGACATAGGCTACACTGTCGTTTTGCTAAAACTAGCATGATGTTAAAAGTTTGTCTGATAGAAAATGTAACTTTATGATATGAGTAATCAAAGCTCGCTTAGTCTATGCATGACGAGGCGTGTCAAGTCGAGTTGAATTACTATAGTCAGGGGTGCACATAACTTTTAGTGAGTTACTCAGATGAGTACCAGGAGACAGCGTTTGGTAGGCCTACTCACCCCACACGAAGCGTGGTTTTAATAAGTGCAGTCTTCCTCACTGTCCTCCTCAGTGTCTCCTTGGTTGCGTTCGAATACTCCAAAAAAACAGCTCCTAAGTTCTAACCCTATCGTCTATTCCTTGACCTCGGAGTGAACGTCATGGGGTTAAGGGATAGTGGATAGGAGAATTCAAAAGGATTTAGGAGAAGAGACTGCGGCACTTTAGAGAATCCGACTGCACTTTCACTATCCGACGTGTTTATGATGCGCCAGCGGAGGTCATAAATGTGCGCCTGCTGCTGTGGGGAAACTATGGAAACTACAGTTTTCTATACAGCGGACTACAACATGGATGTTTAATAAGAACGAGGGACTACTGTAAACTCATCTAGAGACTCTGCACCGTGCTCTGATGCTGTTGTTTTATGCTTTATGAACAGGGACAACAGAGAAACATATTCTTCATGACCAAAGTTGGAATTGAAATAAAAAAGGAAAGTGAAACTTATGCTCGTCACCCTCTCCCTCCGGTCCACATTAATACAAATGATCCCAATACGTATGATTGTATGAAAAGATCTTAAAATCAATACAAATGTATTTATTATAAACGTTAGTCCTTAACATCTATCACTGTGTATATCACCATTCAAACATCTTTTAAAAGTTGAACAAACCCCACACAGCTCAGTAAAGACTGTGAAATGTTGACTTTATTTGATCATTTCAGTAAAAACTAACGTTCATATTTCTCTTTTTGATTATAATACTGATGAACGTTCAAAACAAAGCACTTTGGCAACTTACCACATACGTTTTAAATTGCTTAATAAGCACCGTAACTTTATACCGATATCATTTCTCGTTCATAATCGGTTGTTTCCGTGAACGGCCGACTGTTGTGTGACGGCAAATGCTGCGGCCGCAAGGCATTGTGGGGCAGCATTTTCTCCTCTCCTTTCGGTTAGGGAGGTCCAGTGGTTCCTAGGCTAAAGGAGGTTATAAAGGAAGTTTGAAACCTCCTTTCCTTTTAATTTAGAGAATTCGAACGGCACTTATCATGGCTGCCACTGAGGGACTTCCGGGTCATTTCACTCCGTTAGGAAGGTTCCTAAGCTAAATGGACTATTCGAATGCAACCCTTCACTGTCCTCTAGTTCAGGGGTTCCCAACCCCCGGTCCGCGGACCGGTACCGGGCCGCGGAGGTGTTACTGCCGGGCCGCGAAATAGCTGTGAGTTTATCGTAATATTTGCAGAATTATAAATATATAAAAATATTTTATCATAATATTTTTTTCAAAAAGTGTTTAATTTTCGCACCTATGCCACCAGTCATATTATTTCATCCAGTAGCTAGTTAATCTTTCACCAGAAAACCGTTGAAAATGGCTTTTATGATGTTCCGAGGGATTCGGCGGCTCAGCCTAAGGTCTCTGGTTGCATTCGAATAGTCCATTTAGCTTAGGAACCTTCCTAACGGAGTGAAATGACCCGGAAGTCCCTCAGTGGCAGCCATGATAAGTGCCGTTCGAATTCTCTAAATTAAAAGGAAAGGAGGTTTCAAACTTCCTTTATAACCTCCTTTAGCTTAGGAACCACTGGACCTCCCTAACCGAAAGGAGAGGAGAAAATGCTGCCCCACAATGCCTTGCAGCCGCAGCATTTGCCGTCACACAACAGTCGGCCGTTCACGGAAACAACCGATTATGAACGAGAAATGATATCATGAAAGTTACGGTGCTTATTAAGCATTTTAAAACGTATGTGGTAAGTTGCCAAAGTGCTTTGTTTTGAACGTTCATCAGTATTATAATCAAAAAGAGAAATATGAACGTTAGTTTTTACTGAAATGATCAAATAAAGTCAACATTTCACAGTCTTTACTGAGCTGTGTGGGGTTTGTTCAACTTTTAAAAGATGTTTGAATGGTGATATACACAGTGATAGATGTTAAGGACTAACGTTTATAATAAATACATTTGTATTGATTTTAAGATCTTTTCATACAATCATATGTATTGGGATCATTTGTATTAATGTGGACCGGAGGGAGAGGGTGACGAGCATAAGTTTCACTTTCCTTTTTTATTTCAATTTCAACTTTGGTCATGAAGAATATGTTTCTCTGTTGTCTCCGTTCATAAAGCATAAAACAACAGCATCAGAGCACGGTGCAGAGTCTCTAGATGAGTTTACAGTAGTCCCTCGTTCTTATTAAAGCTCCCATGTCATGCTTTTCCGGTTATTACCCGTCCCCTTGTGTGTTATGAAGGTTTTTATGCATGTAAACGGTGTGCAGAGTCAAAACCCTCAAAGTACACCCTGTAGCGAGTAAAACTCTAACACAGAAAATACCTCC